TGGCCTCCTGCAGATAATCTTACTTCTTACATTACTTAGTGCAGTGCCATCTTATATGAATTTCATCCACCCTCTCTGCCTTGCCAGCCTCTCATTTCTAAGAGGAAGAGGTTTTTCTTAAAGGTTACCACCATATGTGCCCTTAACTTTTCCTATAGTTATTCTCTTTTCCCTAATAAAGTTATTTAATAAATGGTCTTTATTCACTGCCTCCTTTCTTTATTTCCTTCTCTCCTTTTCACCTCATTTGGTTAATCTTTATGGTATAGCTTCTTTAAGCTGCTTTCAGAGATCACCACTGTTTCTTTTTTAGCTGTTCCTCTTTGAACTGTCAGTTTTCTTTTTTGTAAAATGGGGACTTGAGATAGTGTATCTGCTGTTTACTAGCTGGTTGACCTTAGGCCAGCTATTTCCTTGGGGAAGTGTCACCTTAGGAAACGTGGTCTGCGATGGGACTGCCTGGTCCAGCCCTAGAAGTTACTGTCAAATGTCTTTCCTCAAGAGGCAGTTAAGCTTTCTAAGCTGAAGTTTCCTTTTTATAAGTTGGGCATAGTATCTACTTCATAAGATTAAAAACATTGTGTGTAAAGTATTAACAGTACTTGGCAAGTAATATGTGAGCGATAAACTGTTAATAGTAATTTTTCATCTTTTTTTGTGTTAACGTCTTTACCTCATTTCTTTCTCCTATGAGAGCTGTGCCCTGGCTGCAAGATTCTGTGTGTCAATCCCAGGATGAACTGTGTGTTTCATGCCTTTGCTTGTATACGTGTGCTCCCTCAGCCTGGAATACTCCTTCCCCTCAGTTTTACTTGGTGAAAACCTGCTTCTGGAAAAGCCCAGTCTCAAATGTCTCCTCTTCCTCAGACCTTTTCCCCCTTCTCCCAGCTGAAACCACTCTTTTTTTGTGTTCCCATAGTATTCTTTAGCTTTCAACATTATCTGCCTTGTATTATGCTTGTTTCTTATTTACATTATATTTTGTCCTGTAAGTACCTAAAGTAGTTGCCAAAAAGTATTGAATGAACTAAATCAGATGACCCTAACCTTTCGGTGGCCTTTGGATAAGACTGGATATAGAATTGCATCATGTGGTACGAATTTTAGACTGGACCACATGCTGGGAAATAGCATTTTTTTTTTTTTTTTGTGGGGATGGAATGTGTCCTTCTGTTGTACTTATTTTTGGTTTCATTTATCCCATGAAGAGTTGACCCTAATTGCAGACTAGATGAAGTAACTCCATCGCTTTTTCATTTCTTCACCTTATTTTCAGTGTTCTTTCTGGTGCTGATTCTCTCCCTTCTGTCACTAGGGGCATCTTCTGGTTTCCTTCCGGGGTGTTTGTGATTTAGGGAAGAATTGACTGAGGGCCTGAAAAGGGTTGTCCAGTTACAGTACTTCATACCCAGTGCCACTTGCCCGGGGGAGACGACTAGAAAGGGCTTCCTGGGTGCCTGGTTTGTACCCGGGAAGAAACAGTGTATCTGCTAGGGTTTTAATTAATGTAAATATTTTATTAATGTAAAATTTATTGTTAATATAAATCTTACTGTTTATATGTGACTTCATTTATGTGGTAGTTATGTAAATAACAGTTCATGGTTCACTGGCCTGTTTCCCTCACTGAGTTGTTGGGGTCCTGGGGGTTAGTCCCACATTCGTTTTTGTGTCCTCCTCTTTCGCCCAGGATGGTGCATTGTATGTGGTCAGCAAATGTTGGTTGATGTGAATGCCTTATTTAAAATGCAGTATTTCAGCGAATAAGGGCAGCGTCTTAGTAAAACATTATTTAGGCAAAATATTTCAATGCTACATTTAAGAGGATCACTGATCCCATTATCTGTGTAAGGCCAAGGAAGATTTTCTTTTATTTTGAATGCTCATTACCACTGAGGAGGAGACCTTAACAGATGAATAATTTATTTTCATATCTTAACTGTATGCAAAAATACTTGGGGTTTAATGGGAGATTTTAATACACTTTTGAAAATTGGCAATAGATGCATTTTTCCTCCCCCCCACCCCCCCAGGCAAAGGGAAAATACTTTTTAAAAATAAACTGTACAGAATGCTCAAATTGTCATTTTTGTAATGCAACTTTATTTAAATTAACATACTACTAGAAATCACATTTCTAATCAGTAGAACTTAGAAATAAAACATCTCTTGTCTCCTTCCTGGATCCTGTTGCTTAGTCAGCAAATGATTCAGGAGTTTGGGCTAGTTGCTGGAATATTTGGGGTAAGCATTAGTGGAGGCAGAAACGAAGGCCTGTTGCTCCTGGGATGTGTGTGGACTAATGGTTAAGAGTACTTGAGTCACATCCCACGCTGCCACTCATGATATGTAACCAGTCTCATAGCCTCAGTTTCCACATCTTTAAAATAGGAATCATAACTGGGAGTTGTAGAACTTCACACGGTCTGACCCATAGAAAGCATTCTATAAATGTTATTCTTAATTTTACTGATATTGCATCTAGTAATGACACAGCTTTATTTTCTGGGTTCATCAGTCCTTCATGTGAATTAAACATCATTTATCTTTGATTAACTTCAAATTACATTTTTATTTTGTTTATATAACAGGTGACCTCTCTCAAAACTGACAGAATTGTATTTCTTTAAATATAGCTCTCTGTGTTTGAATTTTTCACTCAGAGATTGATCCTTGCCTTCTAGTAACCCTGAATTTGATAGATGAGTAAACACAGACATAAATATATGAAATCTTCTGGTTCTTAAACTGCTAAGAAGTTTTTACTTTGGGGTTTAATTTATTTCTCCTCTTCACAAACATTTTAGCTTACTTTGGGGATAAAGGACCGTTTGGTCATCTGGATTTGGAAGCAATCAGTGGACCGTAACACCATGGAAGGTGTACACTCTGGCTGGGATCAGAGATGGAACATCGTTCAGACGGTCACCAGTTGAATGGCACAGGGCCCTTCTCAGATGCCTATCTGTGGCAGAGTGGAACCTCTACTGACTTATTTATGATAGACTGTATCAAAATAAATGTTTTAAACAATGTTATGTGTTGAGTCCTTTTTGAATTGAACATAATAAGACTATTAGGTAAAAATCTAGCCTTTGGTACATTTTCAGGTCAGGGAATTTATATCCGTAGGTATAGATCTATAGCCTAGATGCTACCTTAAAAACAGAAGAGAATTTCCAAGTTAATTTCTTAACACATGGATTTCACTTTCCCTAGGCATTGAATCAGTAACTTCCTCTGGGATATTCTAAGGTAGAAGTAGAAACAGCTCTCAGTTTATGACAAACTGGGCTTTTACTTCTCACACTGCATTGGCGTAAAGTCCTGACTGAAAGAAACGGGGGTTCTGTGGCTCTGTCAGTAAGGGGTGAGAATGGCATTGGGGGGTATATGTCTGATTTGTTTGTGAATCGAATGTGAGTCTAAGAGTTCCCTCCATGGTGTTTGGAAACTAGAGCTGGCTGGGCAAGAGCCCGTGAACTACACAGAATAGTAGCACCTTTTATTTTCTGATAGAAGTAAAGGAGGTTAATGGGAATTAGTTTTCAGTTCTAGATCCTGGGTTTCCTGGGACCTTTACCTGTATTTGAAGCCTAGATTTACTTAGTTTTGGGAATTGTAATTAATGTGGGAAAGTAGGCCTGAAACAAGATATGATGCAGTTTGGAGAGGAGCCTATTGGTTTGAGTGTTTTAAACATCCAGCATTTAAATAGAGAATGACCATAAATGTAATTTCAGGTGACTGGCGCTATCATTATCAGAAAGTTCTTATTTCTCATGTAAAACCCTCTTAGCCATTTAAAACCTATTTCCTCAAGCTTTGTTACCTTTGCCATGGAGACTTAGGAGACTATTGTAAAGACGTTGCATAAAGGGATTTTAAAGTGGACTTTTTGGGAGTTAATTGCAGGCAGACTATTTTTGGTAAGTACTTAATATAATTGCTTCACCATTTCCGTGAATCTAGGCACGTATGATTTTGCTAAGAAGCTCTTAGTTTTTAAATCCTGTAGAATTGCTTAAGATTGCCCCCTCCTACCCACCCACAATCCTTTCTGCTAAATTTCAGTGTCGTCAGAGAATTTTTGTTAGAGTTTTTATATACATTTTTTTCTTACTCAGGATTTCTAGAAATTGAGAAAGTAAAGCTATGGCAGGTGTCCATATTGATAAAATGCTAACATGGGTAGTAAACATAACTGGCGTTATTTTTTAGGGATGAACTTGTAACTGTCTAAAAACCCAGGAGATTTTAAATGAAGAATCCAGAATTAAGTTGGAAGGGAGTTCCCTGATTCACGTGTGAGGAAGCTATCTTGTTCAAGGCATGGGTTAAGGACTGAGACTAGTACACTACTGTGTGTATATATCTTAAAGTTTGTGAAATGTTTATAACTAAGCGTCTATATTTTATTGAATTTTCGTTTTTAGGGCAGTGCAATCCAGTTCAACAAGCATTGGTCTCTGTTCTGTGCTGGGCACTAGAGAGTCCTGACCTTAATTTGCTTCGGCAAAAACACTGTGCTGAGAGGAACTGATTTGAGCCCTGGACCTGCCACTTAGTTCTTATGCCATTGGTGGAGAAGTCATTTAATTTTTAGGCTTCAGTTTCTTCTCAGAAATAGGAATAATAGTGCTTGCCCCAAGGTGTTATTTTGTAAACCAGTGGTCCTCAGATGATTCCAGATGAGCATCACCTAGAAACTTGATGTAAGTTCACATTTTCGGGTATGAAAATTGAGGGTAAGGCCCAGCAATCTCTTAATTACTTCAACCATTATGTACCTTTTACCTAGTTTCCCCCAATGGTGACATTGTAAAACTGCAATAGAGAATCAGGGCATTGACATTGATACAGTCAGAACTTTCCCATTACCATAAGGATTCCTCAAGTTGCCTTATTAAGCGCCAACCATCCTCACCTACCCCACCCCCACCCCAACCCCTGGTAACTGGTAATCTGTTGTCCATTTCTATAACTCATTTCAAGAAAGTTATACAAATGGAATTATGTGATAAGTAACCTTTGGGATTAGCATTTTTCACTCAGCATAATTCTCAGTAGATTCATGTAGGTTATATATCAATTTATTCCTTTTTATTGCTGAGTGTATTCCATGGGGTGGGTGTACGTGAAGGACAGCTGGGTTGTTCCCATTTTTCAACTGTTGTGAAAACTGCTTTGAACGTTTGTGTACAGCTTTTTGTGTGATCAGTTTTTTGTGCGATCCTCCATGTGACTGAACCCGGCTGCT